TCGGCCTTCCTTCTCCACCTTCCATGCCTGACCCACCACGCACCGCTTCCCCACCACCACCACCGAAGAACCAACAACTCAGGGGCTGCCCAGGCTCATGGAGAAAGGAGATAGAAGCCTCAGAGGAAGGGGAAACATGGCGGTTGAGGTCAAGACAGCAGCCGCCCCTCTGCCACCGCCATCGCTGCAGCATCAATGTGCCAAACATGTAGTAAGTATGTATGTATGTATGTATGTATGTATGTATGTATTTATAGTGTCCCCAGATTCATTGAAAAAATTCTGGTAACCCCATCCTAAAATGATACCCATGCGCTCCAAAACAGTCTAGCAAAACAAGTGCTCGTATTTTTAGCTCTTTTCCCTCTTCTTTTTAGGCTGTAGTTTAATTGTTTAAAAGCATTAGGAGCACAAATTTCTCAGGAAGCGACGCAGGAGACCTGGCTTTCTTTACATGTGGTTTCTACTTATTAATTTCTATTTTAACCAACTATTTGGGAAGCTGTGTTAGCAACAGTTCTAACAACAGTTTCTTGCCTCAGACTGTCACCACCACATCGCACTTGTATACTTCATAAAACAATAAAATTAAAACTACAAAACTATATGTAGAAGACCATGTACAAGGTGTGTTAAGTGTGTTGCAACTTGTTAAGTTAATGGGCTTCCTTAGCACCATGCTTGATTGTGGGCCATACTTACTAGACCCAACACATATTTCATGTATACATTGCTAATATCAGTAACGACAAATTCTAGGAGTTGTTCATGGAAGAATAGGCTCCTGTTAAGCCTACAGCAAGTACGGTAGTTTTTATAGATGCTTTATTCATAGAAGGCCTTAAGCCTTCTGTAATAGCTTCCCTCTTATATTGTGTTGGATTCTTTCCAGTCCCCTGTTAGCAAAACCACACAAAACAATCAATGATCTGAATGAAGGAAAGAAAGAAAGAGAAGGAGGGGGGAAATCAGTACAGGACTCTGCTGTAGCTATATTAATTGAAAGCAAGAGCTTCATTTCTGAAAAGTTAGAAGAATTCTTTTTTTAAAAAAATCGTTCACAACAGCTCTCCATTACAGACAGTTGCTAAGGCAACTGCTGCTTTCAGATTTATTATGCTCTCCAAAACCTATCCAGTATAATATTACAAGCCCCACAGGTGGTAAGCTGCTACATAGCAAGATTCCGTTTTGTCCGATTATCATTACTTAATTGGCTCACATGAGAATAGGAGCATCAACCTGAAGTCCAGTGAGATTTGTTTCTTTCTTTTTTTCCTATAGAAGAGTTAAGCGCTGGCCTAGGCAGCTTTTTACAGTATAGTAAGGTGCTATATACAGGGACGCGGGTGGCGCTGTGGGTAAAACCTCAGCGCCTAGGACTTGCCGATCGTCAGGTCGGCAGTTTGAATCCCCGCGGCGGGGTGCGCTCCCGTTGCTCGGTCCCAGCGCCTGCCAACCTAGCAGTTCGAAAGCACCCCTGGGTGCAAGTAGATAAATAGGGACCACTTACCAGCAGGAAGGTAAACGGTGTTTCCGTGTGCTGCGCTGGCTCGCCAGATGCAGCTTGTCACGCTGGCCACGTGACCCGGAAGTGTCCTCGGACAGCGCTGGCCCCCGGCCTCTTAAGTGAGATGGGCGCACAACCCCAGAGTCAGACACGACTGGCCCGTACGGGCAGGGGTACCTTTACCTTTACCTTTAAGGTGCTATATACTGAGTTCCCTAAGGAAACTTCTGTGTACACTTAGAACCACTGGCTTATTTTTAAGAGAGAGGAGTATTTTCATGCAAATAACCAAAGACTGAAGAGAGACCAAGTATTCATCCAAATGATTGTAAAAATTATTCCAATATGTCAATGTGTAGAGCAGGGTTTCCCAAACTTGAGTCTCCAGCTGTTTTTGGACTACAACTCCCATCATTCCTAGCTATCAGGACCAGTGGTCAGGGATGATGGGAACTGCAATCCAAAAACAGCAGGAGACTCAAGTTTGGGAAACCCTGGTGTAGAGTATAAAATCATCCAAGATTCCATTTAATGATGTACTAATGTTCATGTGAGCCATTTAACGCAGGTGGCGCTGTGGGTTAAACCACAGAGCCTAGGACTTGCTGATCAGAAGCTCAGCAGTTCGAATCCCTGCGACGGGGTGAGCTCCCATTACTTGGTCCCTGCTTCTGCCAACCTAGCAGTTTGAAAACATGAAGTGCAAGTAGATAAATAGGTACCGCTGTGGCGGGAAGGTAAATGGCGTTTCCATGCGCTGCTCTGGTTCACCAGAAGCAGCTTAGTCATGCTGGCCACATGACCCGGAAGCTGTCTGCGGACAAATGTCGGCTCCCTCGGCCTATAGAGTGAGATGAGCGCCGCAACCCCAGAGTCGGTCACGACTGGACCTAATGGTCAGGGGTCCCTTTACCTTTAATGTTCATGTGATGATACCACAAAGTGGAGTATTGATACAGGTAGGTAACCATGTTGGTCTACCGTAGTTGAAACTAAATTTAAAAACACCTTCCAGTAGCACCTTAGAGACCAACTAAGTTTGTTATTGGTATGAGCTTTCATGTGCTACTGGAAGGTGTTTTTTGTTTTTTTATGGAGTATTGATGTGAGTCTATCTCAGGCAGGATAACAGTGCGGCTTGCCTGGGATTGCTTGCTACTCCACCTCATCCTGACTCACTTCTTTGCCTTCAACAGCATTCTGACATGAAAATATTTAGCAGCTTTCCCCAAATCCCACCACATGCCCAAACTTGTTGTTGTTGTTGTTGTTGTTGTTTAGTCATTTAGTCCAGTGTTTCCCAACCACTGTTCCGCGGCACACTAGTGTGCCGCGAGATGTTGCCTGGTGTGCCGTGGGGAAAATTCAAAAGATTTTTTTTTTTTGTAAAAGTCAAATTAGGTCCTAATCTATCCCTCGAGCGCTTCTTGTCCGTTATTGTGACGCATGAAGCGTGTTCCCGCCCACTCCCCGCCCTCCCTTGCTTCTCTCTCTCTCTCTCTGTGGCGTTCTCCGCCGCTTCCTGCTGGGCATGCGCAGCTCGCCTCGCGCTTCCATTCCGACCCCTCCTTCCCCCGACTACCCCGCCGCTCCGTTCCTTTCTCTTTCTCGCGTGTCAGAGAGCGGCGGCGCGAGCGCGGCGGTTCCCTCAGGGCTGACGGAGGGCTCGAGGAGGAGGAGGCAGGACGTGGAGGCGGAGAAAGCGGCGGCGGCCACCCCCCACCTCCGGCTCGAGGCCCGCGTAGAAAGCTGAGGGGGAGAGATAGATAGGGGTGGGCGGCGGCGACGACCACGACCACGACCACGACCAACCGCCACAGTAGTTGTAGCGGTGGCGACGGCGAGCAGGGACTCCCGCTCTCTCTCCGTCGTGTCTCTCTCTCTCTCTCTCCCCCGGGCCCGTCCGTTGAGTCTCCCGCGCGCCTCGGCTACAAGATGAGCATCGAGATCCCGCCGGGTCTGACTGAGCTGCTGCAGGGCTACACGGTGGAGGTGCTGCGGCACCGGCCGCCGGACCTGCTGGCCTTCGCCGCCGAGTACTTCGCCAAGCCGCGCTCTCCTTCCTGCCTCGCTTTGCTGCCTCCTCCCCCCCACCCCCAAAGCTTGGAGGTTCCCCGGCGCCGACCCGCAGGTTTGACCCCCTTCTCACACCTGTTCGCGCTCCTTGCACGGAATGGGGCGGATGGGGAGGAACGGGGCTCGCCGCTGCCTCCGCTCGCCCTCCCCCCCTCCGCCGGCGGTCCCGCGATTCTTGGCTTTTTGGCGGTTGGCACAGAAGGAAGGCAAGGGGGAGGGGAAAAAATTGAATCTTACACTTTCGTGCGTCCCTCCCGGCGTGACGCTGCACGCTGACGTCACGGGGCTGTAATGGTGGTGTGCCTCGAGATTTTTTTCATGAAACAAGTGTGCCTTTGCCCAAAAAAGGTTGGGGAACACTGGTTTAGTCGTGTCCGACTCTTCGTGACCCCATAGACCAGAGCACGCCAGGCACCTCTGTCCTCCACTACCTCCCGCAGTTTGGTCAAACTCATGCTGGTAACCTCGAAAACACTATCCAACCATCTCGTCCTCTGTCGCCCCCTTCTCCTTGTGCCCTCCATCTTTCCCAGTATCAGTGTCTTCTTCAGGGAGTCTTCTCTTCTCATGAGGTGGCCAAAGTACTGGAGCCTCAGCTTCATGATCTGTCCTTCCAGTAAGCACTCAGGGCTGATTTCCTTAAGAATGGATGCGTTTGATCTTCTTGCAGTCCATGGGACTCTCAAGAGTCTTCTCCAGCACCATAATTCAAAAGCATCAATTCTTCGCCGATCAGCCTTCTTTATGGTCCAGCTCTCACTTCCATACATCACTACTGGGAAAACCATGGCTTTAACTATACGGACCTTTGTTGGCAAGGTGACGTCTCTACTTCTCAAGATGCTGTCTAGGCCTGTCATTGCCCTTCTCCCAAGAAGCAGGCGTCTTTTAATTTCGTGGCTGCTGTCACCATCTGCAGTGATCATGGAGCCCAAGAAAGTAAAATCTCTCACTGCCTCCATTTCTTCCCCTTCTATTTGCCAGGAGGTGATGGGACCAGTGGCCATGATCTTTGTGCCCAAACTTAGAAGCGCTTAATTCCTCCAGATGACCACACTGCTAACGGCACAGCACCAGGGACTAGTGTTCTGGTTTTTTGAAAAGTTGGGAAAGCTACACATAATGCAAAACTGGTGCTCAAATGGTGCTCAAGTGCACAATGGCACCCATGAGGCTGCTGTATTCCTCCTCCATTTTGATCTCCCCCACCCCCTCTTTGGGAGTGAGAATGTCTGGAAGACTACCAAAAGTTGAGAAAGAAAGTAAGAGAAGTTGATAGAGGAAGTGTGTTATATTGTAAGCCATCTTGAGGGGATGGCTCACAATATACTTAGGGGAGGGCTGAGGACAGAGTCAGTGTCTGTGGACTGTGTGCAACTTGTTTCAACAGGATTGCTCATCTCTTCCATTCTAGAAAGAAGAGTGATGAAGTTGATTCCTCTCTCTGGACTTCTGGCAATCACATGACAAACACTAGTGATTGACTGGCTTCTTCCTTTCCCGGTATCGTGGCTGGATGACAGCGTGGTTTAACATTTTTATATACACCAACCAATAATGGAGCACAAAGGCAGTCAGGAGGCCACAGACTGGGGAGTTGGTTGCCACCAGGAGCTGCAAAAGAGGTGAGAGGTTTGGGACAACAGGGGATGGCATCTATGAGGGCTCTGCAAGCTTCAGACCTCCAGCCTCAGGCTAAGTATCAAAAGGCTGGTCCAGCATTCCAGCTGGTGGTACAATAGCCTTGGACTCAGCAGGTTCCTTCTCCTCTTGCCTTAAGATAAATTCACATGTGCTTTTTTGGAGTTTATGATCATTTGGGCAGTGCATCAAGAGACATAGTGATGGCCATTACTTGAAATGGAAATGTAAAAGGTTTTAAAATATTCATGGAGGATTGGACCATCAATAAGTTCTTAACCATGGTATCTACATTTATAAATATTAAATAATAATAACAACCAACAAATCTCTGCATGTACCTCTCTCAGTTTAAAATCTTGTAGCACTGTAAAGGTAAAGGGACCCCTGACCATTAGGTCCAGTCGTGAACGACTCTGGGGTTGCAGCGCTCATCTCGCTTTATTTGCTGAGGGAGCCGGCGTACAGCTTCCAGGTCATGTGGCCAGCATGACTAAACCGCTTCTGGCAAACCAGAGCAGCACATAGAAATGCTGTTTACCTTCCCGCCGGAGCGGTTCCTATTTATCTACTTGCACTTCGTGCTTTCAAACTGCTAGGTTGGCAGGAGCAGGCACCAAGCAACGGGAACTCACCCCATCACGGGGATTCGAAGCACCGACCTTTAACCCACAGTGCCACCCGCGTCCCTCAAGCACCTTAAAGGCAAACCCTTTTATTGGTACAGAAATGGATTCTAGCCCACAAATTTTATGTCGTGGAACTTTATTGATCTTCAAGCAACTACGAAATTCTTTTGTTATTTTCGCTGCAACAGACTGGCCTCCCCAAACCGTACATTTAAAGCACATGGGGTCCCCAAAAAATCCTAGGAGCTGCAGTTTGTTAAGGCTGCTGTTAAGTGTGGGGGGTGATCTACAGTTCCCAGCATTCTTTGCGGGAAGCCATTACTGTTACTAAGAAGAAGAAGAAGAGGAGGAGATTGGATTTGATATCCTGCTTTATCACTACCCGAAGGAGTCTCAAAGCAGCTAACATTCTCCTTTCCCTTCCTCCCCCACAACAAACACTCTGTGAGGTGAGTGAGGCTGAGAGACTTCAAAGAAGTGTGACTAGCCCAAGGTCACCCAGCAGCTGCATGTGGAGGAGCGGAGACACGAACCCGGTTCCCCAGATTACGAGTCCACTGCTCTTAACCACTACACCACACTGGCTCTCTAAGTGCTATAAATGTGCGTGAGGGATGTTGAGAATAAACAACCACAGAAAGACCACTCCCTCCATGCTGTTCTTGTGAGCTTCCAGAGGTTTTTATCCTCCTGCTGGACTGAGCAAATCTTGCTAGTGGTGCAGCAGGGCAGATGCTTTGTTCTTCACTATACTTCCAATTGCATGACCGAATGAGTAAAATGTACCCAATTCTGGCAGTGCTTAAGAGCATATAGAGAGACTGCTGAATAGCTCATCTGGTCCAGCACCCTGTTCTTACAGCCAGATGACTGTGGAAAGCCTGGAAGCAGGACATGACCAGAACATCACTCTGCCTGCCTGCAGTTCCTAGCAACTGGTATTCGGAAGCATACGCTTCTTTAGATGCCCTGCCAGTGAAAGGTCATGGCAACATTTCTAGATTTTCTCTTCTATCTCTCACTTTTTATACAATTGTGAGTCACAACGAAAGCCAAAAGAATGTAAGTAGGTGAGTTTGGGTTAACAGCATGGGGATGGCAATGACTAACCTTTAGTCCTCCTTTTTATATCCCCAAGGACAAAAACAAAAAGAAGCCATTTAGGCAAACCAAAATTGATTGTCCACCCAAGTTAAAACATCATTGTGTTATCAGGTTTTCCATTACAGTGGTACCTAGGTTCCCAAACTTTTTTTAAAAAAAAATTTATTCATTTTTCTTTTTCATTCATTACATACATCTCAATTGCTTAACATTCGCTATATATTCCTCCCTCCCTCCCCTCCAGGGTTTCCCCCAACTTCCGCTTCTGGTTTGTTTTTCTTTTCACCCACTTTGCTATCTTCTAACAGAAAAAGTTATTAATAACATAACCATACTTAATCCTGTTCCAAAACCAAAGCGTTCTAAAACCAAGGCATGCTTTCCCATAGAAAGTAATGCAAAATGGATTAATCTGTTCCAGGCTTTAAAAAACAATCCCTAAAACAGCAATTTAACATGAATTTTACTATCTAACGAGACCATTGATCCATAAAATGAAAGCAATCATCAATGTACTGCACTACAAAATAAATAAGACAGTATTTTAGATGATAAAAAAAATTAAAAAATTCTTACATGCACTGATGATAGTCATTGTTTGGATGGGGGGCTTTTATCCATCAGTCGGTAGCTGAACTGGGTTCCACACAGTCACAAAAACAAAGTCACAAGCCACAGTCACAAGTCAGTCCCATAAAACAAAGAACAAGTCACAGTAAAAAAAAACCAACACAAAAAAGCCACACAAACCAAAATGCAAAAAAACAGCAAAAACAAAAGCTCCAAATATCACCTCTGTGTTACATGGGTGCTTGGGACTCAACAGCCAACAGACTCAACAGGAAGCCTCTGATTAGCAGCAGGAAACTCAAATTACAAATGGAACATGTTCTGCTTCCAAGGCAAAGTTCACAAACCGGAACACCTACTTCTGGGTTTGCAGCGTTCTATTTCCAAGTTGTTCATAAGCTAAGCTGTTCTAAAACCAAGGTACCACTGTAGAAGCATTAATGCATCATCCTATATTGGGAAATATGTACTTGTTGTACTTGTTATATATTTATACAGAAGTAAGGATCAGCATGACTTACTTCCTGGTAATTATGCCTAAGATTGCAATCTTAGTTTTATTTATAGACCATCCTGCCCCAAGGATTTAGAGCAGTCGGCAACTATTTCATATAAAATCAGAAGGATACTAGACATAAAATCAAACACAGAGAACTTCTGACAAGTTTAATGTGGGGTGGAGGGAGGGAAATACTAGGTTTACGCATTATACGTCCTCTTCCAGAACTATCTGGCTCTCCTTCGACGTCTAAACCACTCCACCAATTTCTTTCTTTTATCCACAGCATGCAGTCAATATTTAGCTTAGCTTTACATAAGGTTTGTTCATGTTAATCTATTGCTCCATTTCCATTAAGGCTAATCAGTGGTGTGGTTCAAAGCTCGAAAGGCCATCTGTGGCATCAGCTGAGCATGTGCATGATGGCTAATTCTAGGGTGTTTGCTGTCTCTTATTCCATTCATAGCTCCATTCAGTTTCAGCAGAAGCAAAAAATGACCCTGTAGATGTGTCCAACACTGTGTTAAGCTACATACTGGACTGCAGTGAGGGCAGGGATCGGGTGAGAGCTCTGTTCCCCGAAAACTCTGTAGCTCAATGTCAGAAAGCAACTCAACTTCTCCCGCATGTTAAGGTGAAACAAAGCCAGCACAAAGCCATTGGGTTAATTTGTTGCAATGATGCGGGTCCTCAAGTTGGGGGCTACAAAAATGTTCTTTCATAGGCCCAGTTTCTCCTAAATTTGAATACAGCAGTTGCATTAGCTTTGCACTGAGCGGCACACAAGTTCTGTAGGGTAGCACGATGTCAGGATTTATTTATTTTCTACTTTGCACAAGGCAGCCAGGAGGTAGCTGTTCCAGCCCAACCACTTATTAATCTGTTACTTTGCCAGACACAGGACACCAAAGAAAGGCAGCCCAGAAGGTTTACTAAAATGACATAATTCAACCCAAGCTAAGCACATTTAAGTGTAATTGATTTTAGCAGGAGAAAATTAAGCACGGAGCTTCACTTTGGCAAAAAGTGATGTTGCATGCATGCAACACACAACAGCCCCCCCCCCCCAGTATTGCAACCAATATCAAGAGGGCCTGAAGACATCTCAGCCCCCTAGGGTTGGCACACCTGATACACATCTTTTTCTTCTTGGCTTCTTTGGGGAAGACTGTAAAGGTAGTGCTACCAGTAATGTAGATCATTAGAAAACCACTATCAAATTCCAGAAAGGCTAGCAATAAAATTCACAGCTTGCCTCTGAAACACACACACACACAAAGAGACCCATTCTATCAATATTTCATTATTCGGGATTTTATAGTTCAAATATGGAAGAAATTCATATTGGCAAGCACAAGAGGTTTAGAAACCAGCCAAATTGCAGTCAAATAGGTCCAGGCACTTTTGTGCTAGGCACTGTTAAAGTTGTTTTGGCGGGGGTAGGGGGAGAGAGCTGAAAGGAATTTGTTTTCCAGGTAACATCATTCCCTCGGATTAGAAGCTTGGCCCATGGAGCTCTCTGTGTCCCCACTCTGGTGGTTTTTCTCCATTCCACCATCACCCCACCCTGGTATTATGGTAAGTTTAGAGCAATGGTAAGAAGAAGTTGTGGGACACGGGTGGCGCTGTGGATAAAAGCCTCAGCACCTAGGGCTTGCTGATCAAAAGGTCGGCGGTTCAAATCCCCATGGCGGGGTGCGCTCCCGTTGCTCGGTCCCAGCGCCTGCCAACCTAGCAGTTCGAAAGCACCCCTGGGTGCAAGTAGATAAATAGGGACCTCTTACTAGCGGGAAGGTAAACGGCGTTTCCGTGCGCTGCACTGGCTCACCAGATGCAGCTTTGTCACGCTGGCCACGTGACCCGGAAGTGTCTGCGGACAGCGCTGGCCCCCGGCCTCTAGAGTGAGATGGGCGCACAACCCTAGAGTCTGTCAAGACTGGCCCGTACAGGCAGGGGTACCTTTACCTTTACCTTTAAGAAGAAGTTAGATGAGTATCTCTGAGTGGGTGATCTGCCATAGATCAGCAAGGGCTTCTGACACCCAAGTATCTAACAACAGCAATAATAACAACAACAACAATAACAACAACAACAACAACAACAATATATTTATACCCCACCCATCTGGCTAGGTTTCCCCAGCCACTCTGGGCGGCTCCCAACAGAATATTAAAACCACAATAAAGCATCATACATTAAAAAACTTCCCTAAACAGAGCTGCACCCGCTGGAGTTTCTGGCTCAGTCTCAAGGGCAGCCCCACGTAGAGTGAGTTACAATAATCAAGCCTGGAGGTGACCGTCGCGTGGATCACAGTGGCTAGGTCAGGGCTAGGTCTACAGGGAGATGCCGCCAACTCTGGCTCTTGGATGTGCCAATTGTACACCTTTCCAAATCTGTTTATCTGACTTATGCAGAGAGCTAAAATATATAAAAGGCAAGGTGGGCCTTGGCTCCAAACAATGATGTTTTGCGCTTACAGCTAAGAGCCACATATGTCCCAAATCCAAAGCAGTTGAGGTCAAA